GCTTAAATGACAAGATGGAAATCCTGCAAAATCAGGAGGTGGTACTGCTGCTCTGTGTCCTTTTGCTATTCAAAGTAGCTTTTTTCTTCTTGAAGATCAGTACCAATGCAGATTTCCCTGTGATGTTCCTGCCACCACTGGTGTCACACTGAGCTCTATCCTCTGCTCTTCAAAGGGGTGTTTTGAAGCAGCCCCATAGCTGCTGCCCCACTTAATGTCTGCCACCAGCTCAGAGGAGCAGTTGGTAAATGGTAAACAGCTTATACATCTATCAGAAGCCCAGGAGGGAAATTTGCATTGTATATGCGTACATGTGCATATATTAATGAAATGTTTATCTTTTTGAAAATATTTTTTCTCAAAAATAAAAAAAAAATATTGAGGAAATTTTTCTCTAAGTCTATCAAACATTGACTCTCTGCTGAGATTTTGGAGTATGAAGGAGTAGATGGGAAAGCTTCTGGAATTCATTAAGTAAGATAATATAAAAGAGGGAGAATCCACAATCCTCATAAATCTCAAATGCTGAAAAATCCACAGGAGAATGAAAATTATAATGAATAATTCAGACAATACATCCTTGAATGAGAATGTTTCAGCTTCCTCACTTGTCCAGTCTCTCATCTGATCTCCAAGAGCTAAACATAAATATGAAAAAAATGAAATAAGTAGTTTTTCAGAACTGTTTGAAGCCCTCTGTCTGCATTGTGGAGCTTGGAGGTTTGCCACGGGCTGAGGCTTGCACAGGATCTGTGTGCTCGTGCCTCCCTCTGCTGACTGCATCCCCAGACCTCTCTCATTGGCTGCAAATCATAAAAGGCCGTGGTTGTTTTCCCCCTCCCGCTGGGATGATGTTCCTCCCCATGTCCCAGGCAATGACAGTGAAATCTGGGGAGCTGTTGGGTACGGGCTGCTCACATCAGCCCCAGCCCCATGGTCCCAGTGGTTGTCACCCCAGCAGCCCTGTGTTCCCTTTGTGGCATCTGCTCCATGGGTCCCAGTGCCACTCAGCTTCTCCATTAACTCTAAATTAAAGCATCCTTGTTTGGGGGAAAAACTCTGAAAGCAGTAAGGCAGAGACTCAAGAAAAGTTACCATAAACTGGGAGATGCAGGCAGAGATCTTTGGCTGCACCACTAGATTACACCTGGGGTGTACTGGAAATACTTAGAAACTTCCTGTCATCTCAGCAGAACATATGCACCCAGCAAAGGCAAGAAATGTACAGCAAGGCAGGATTAACTGAAAATCATGCCCCTTGCTCTGGGGGGAGCATGGCTGTCCTCGAGCTGGCTGTCCCTTGATGATCCGCCAGAGTCGGGTGACCTTTTCTGTAGAGGGAGTCAAAACCAACTCTTCTGGGGTGATGGAGAGGGATCTCAGTGTTGTAAATATCTTGTCCATTTATTCCTCTTCTAAAGTATTTCCTCAGGTTGGGGCCTGATAGAGATGGGAGTAAAAGCTATTCTGACAAACCAAGTTTGTTAGTCAGGTTTCCTTTGGACTTGAAAACACAGTGAAAACAGCTCCTGGATGCCCCAGGAGTTTTGTGTTGTGGAGGCTTTGTTAGAAAGCTCTGAGGAAACTGCTATCCTTTAAAAATAAAGTGTGCCAAGTAGAATAGCCTCATGGCCATTGTGCTGGGAGCTGAGGGCTGATTTAATAGTGCAAAAACCAACTGCCAGGCTGTAATCAGTAATGGCTGTGTCGGGAAGCTGAAATTGCTACGGGGAAGGAGACAGGAGAGCAGGGTCTGCTCTTGCTGGAGCTGAGACCGAGATAAATGGCAACAGAAAGCCCCTGCTACCAAAGAGTTATGGAATAAATTGATGCATTAGAAGCTCCAGCACTTTAGATCACTAGAAAGGACACACAGAGCATCAGGGAGCCAGGTCAGTGAGGGGCTGAAGGCAGCACTGCCTGCCCAGATGAGTTACTGACCTCCACCCTGGGACTCCAACAGCCAGCTGGTGAGTTACAGAGGCTGCAGCATCAGTGACAGTGATATATAATTAGCCTTGGGATATATTGAAATTTTCATATATGTGCTGAATTAAACCTTCACCCAGAGTGCAGAGAAAAACACATGATGGCTTTAATATAAATAAAATATTAGACAGGAGAAAGCACATAGTCTTTTATAGTCTATGGTGCTGATGTTCTGAAGAGACTCCAAAGCTCTCTGCAATTTATGGGCCAAATCTATTTCTAGGAAGTAATGCCAGGAATATTTTTGAGGAAGGAGAGCTAAAGCTCAGCATGTAAACCTTGGAACTGCTGTAACAGATGCAGCCAACTGTAATAAATGTAAAACACACTAAATAAGACCGAAGGAGTTGTGTCCAACCTGAGCAGTACAAATCCTTCCAATGTTAAATCATCCAAGATTTCCTTTGATATTACTTCCTCTATTAAACAGCAAGTTGTTTTTTATTTCAGACCTGAGAAGCATAGGTATTTTTCACTGAAGACTGATATACTTAGTTTGAATTGTAGAAAGAAGTGAATCTGTTTGGTCTGTTACATTAGTGGCTCAATCAGACTCTCATCAGATTACAGCTGCTGTCTACAAAGTGATCATATCACCCAGGAAGCACTTTGATGCACAAGTCAGTGGTCCAGGTGGGAGAGGTGCAGGTTGGTTAAGTGTAGAAGACATGTAGCACTGAAAAAACAAGATACTATAACAAAGCATGGGCTGAGAAACAAGTAACTCCCCTGTTCCAATATTCCCTGATTATTGATTCATGGATTATTATGCACAAGTAACAATTTGTGGTTTTCAGCAAGTTTTGCCTCTGTTTTGCATTTGTTCTCAGTTATTCAGTGGGTGTTGGAAGAAGGTTATGTCCCTTTGTCCCACTGAGCCATAACTCCAAGTTTAAATGATGCAGTCACCCTCTCCAGCACTGCCATGCCCCACCCAGACCCTACAAACCCCTCAGTATTTAATCTGGGCACAGCCAGAGCCTGCTCAGGAGTATAATTAATACACAAGTACTGAAAAATGAGCATAGAACCAACTGTTCTGTAGGTCAAGAGCACTCGTGTGCCAGGAAGCCACATCCTTCACACCATGGGATTGTTTGTTAGCAAGTGGCTCAAGAGGACATGAAGAGTCTCTCCACTGGGTCTGGAGACCCTTCTTCCCCAGCGCTTACCCTGGGAACAGAGGGTTACAGGAGACCTTGTGCTTCCCACCCAGTACTTCAGCTCAGGACTCCGTCAAGCTCGTTGAAGCTGTGATAATTTCCCAGCCTCACTTGAATTCAGTACTTTTCCCCTTGGAAGCTGTGATAATTTCCCAGCCTCACTTGAATTCAGTACTTTTCCCCTTGGAAGCTGTGATAATTTCCCAGCCTCACTTGAATTCAGTACTTTTCCCCTCTGAGGCGGCGGTGCTTTGGTCTCTGAGCGTTGAGCGCAGAGGCCGAGAGCAGACCGAGTGCTCCAGTGCCCCAGCCCTGCCTGCACAGCCCCAGGGCAGGCAGCACTTGAGACCTAAAATGACAGAAATGTTTTGCAAGAGAAGCTGATTTCACCAGGCTCTTGCTCAACAGCTGGGGAGCTCCCAGAGCCATGGCCTGCAGGAGGACCTTGGTGGCAGGAATTGGAGCCACCAACAGAACAACTGCTCTGACAGCTCATATCTGCAGATGTGTTCTTCTTTCTGATCTTTTCACCTACAGAGCTGGCCTATAAATCTTTTCTATCCAGCAAGAAGGAAATGGCCATGCTGTTTCTCCTAAATTCCAGTGGTATTTAGGGGAGTTTGTCTCTCAGGGCAAAAAGCCCTCTGGAATTCCTGGAGAGAGCAGGGTCTGGGGAAACCACAGACATTTGAACAAAAAGTTTAAAATCTGTCCTGGAAGCCACAACATTTAATGAATCTTAACTGGTTTCTTTTCATCCTAAAATGCACTTGGAGAAAGGTTATATCCATGATGGTCTGGGGGACATCCGAAAGGAAAGCTATTTCCTGAGACCAAGTGATGTAAATAGAAAAAATGAAATTAATTTAAAAGTAAAAAAACCCTCCAAACCAATAGAAATTAATTTAAATAAAAATTAAATAAAAATGTAAATAAAACTATCATTATAAAATTAAAATAAATAAAAATAAATTTTAGAATAACAATACAATTAATGCCCCCAGGCTTTCTCACATGCAAACCCATCATCAGCTCCAAAGCAGCAGCAGCAGCTGGGAGATGGGATAACTTTTGCTAAGGAATGTATACAGCAAAAGTGTTTTACTGCTACCAATCCTAGCTCCAGGGACAATCCCTCTCTTTTATCTAGTTTAGGTGGGTAACTTATGTAGGGGACCAGGAAGAGCACATGTGAGTTCATTTTTCAGCTCTAGCAGGCTCAGATGTTATAAATAAATAAATAAATATGCCCCTAAAAATAAAGTAAAATAGAATAAAGAAGAATAAATGACAAAATAAAAAATACAATGGCTGTAAAATAAAGGTTAGGTTGGACATCAGGAAAAGGTTTTACACCCAGGGGGTGGCTGGGCACTGGAGCAGGCTCACAGCACTGAGCCTGACAGAGCTCAAGAAGGGTTTGGACAATGCTCCCAGGCACAGGGTGAGGTTTGCGGGGTGTCCTGTGCACGGCCAGGAGTTGGACTGATGTTACTTTTGGGTCCCTTCCAACTCAGGATATTCTGCTTCTGTGATTTTATGAGAGTAAAACACAATAAAGGAAAATAAAAGCAAAAAAAAAAAAAAAAAAAAGAAAAGAAAATAAAGCCTATAATAAGAAAAATCAAATCGAATCAAACCCAAATCAAATCAGGCTACTTCCTCCAAGCTGCCATATCATCATCCCTAATGAGATTTGCCCAAATACCGCAACTTTGTTGAGCAACAAATCGGCAGAGCCGGCGGCGGGCGGCGCGCTGGCCCCGCGTTCCCCGGTGCCGCTCCGCTGCGTTCGCTGCCGGTGCCGCCGCGGGGCGCGGAGCGGGCGCGCAGGGCCGGGCGGGGGAGGCGCAGCATGAGCGGGCGCCCCCCCGCGGCCGCCGGCGCAGCGCCCCCGCGCCATGGAGGGATTCCCCGCCCGCGGGTACGGCACCGGCGGCGCGGACAACCGGCCGCTCTTCGGGGAGACCTCGGCCAGGGTAAGGGACGGCGCTCCGCCGCGACAGCGACCACCCCCGGCACCCCCCTCCCCCGAAAGAACCCCCCGCCGCAGCGAACCGCGGCGGAGGAAATGCAGCCGAAAGTCCCGTGGTGCCCCCCCCTCCCGACCCTCCCGGTAAATGCCCCCCGGTTAGGAGGAACCTCCTCCCGGCCGCCCCGGAGAGCGGCTGCTCGCCACCCCCTGCCCCCCGGCTCGGCACGGAGCGCCGCAGGCAGCCGAGGGGCCGGCCCGAGCGAGGAACCTGCCCGAACCCTGCAAACAAATTTAAAAATCCATATGAAATAAGAAAGAATTCTCAGTCTCCCTCCAAAACAGCATCAAAAATAAGAAAGGCTGCACCCTAATGAAAAAATATAAAAGGAGCCCCCCCAAATTCCAAAAGAAGGAAAAGCTTCAATTTGGCCTAATTATATTAAAAAAACCCCCTGAAATAAAACAAAAACAACCATCTCCCCATTAGTGTCCCAAACCAAAAATAATCCATCAACCCCAAACACAGCGCCAAATTTAAAAAAAACCCCAAACGATATGCCCAGAACTAAACCCTTCCAGCAAGATCCCCTCCCCAAATAACTCACAAAACATTTCCCTCCCCTTCTGCCCAAGAAAATCAACTTTCAAATAATCCTCCCCAAAGCAACATCCCCCCAAAACTCTATCGGGAACGTGGGGCTCGGGGTCCCAGGGTCGGGGGGACCCTCGGAGTGGGGCTGGAGGGGGTTTGGGCAGGGCAGGGGTCGCAGAGCCGGGTGTGCCCTGCAGACCCCAGGCCGCTGCGGCTGGAGCAGCCCGGCTGCCGCTCCCCCAGCCTGGGGGGCTTTGCCGGGATGGGGATGGGGGGCTGCGTTTGGTGCCTCCCTGGGAACTGATTTTCCGCCCGGGCTGGAGGAGCTGGCTCCTCGGTGACGTGTGGCAGCAGCGGCTCCTCAGGTGTCAATCCCCGTAAGCCGCTCGGCTCTCGGCACTGCTGCGGTGCCGGGGAGGGGGCTCCTGGGATCGGGATCCCTCGGGATCCACGGTACCTGGAGCGTCACATCATCCGTCTGTGTCTCGGGGTTGTCCCCTGTTAGGAGGGGTTACCCACACTCGTGTGTGCTTGCGGGGTGCAGGCTGAAACCGCCTGAGATTATTCAGAAGTGTATCAAGTCCATCACCGCCCTCCCTGCGAGAACTTGGAACTGCTGCTACAATTACAATGTTTAATGAGAACAAAGTGATACCAACCGGATTTTCGGGGAAAAATGGAATGATGTGGCTTAGGAGGACAGGCAGGACCCCAAGAAGATGAACCGAGGGGGGGACAGGTATCCCCACGAGCAGTGCTGCCCTGATGGGAGCACTGGAGGCAGGGGTACCTTTGTTGGAGCAGTGCCCTGCACTTGGGTCCTGCTGGATGCTCCTTGGTCAGGGATTTTGGGAAGCTCCCAGCAACGGGCACTTCTGGGGACGGGGATGTGCCATTGGAGCACGGAGGCAGTCCTGGCAGGTAACTCCCAAACTCTTCAGCCCAGGTCAAGCCTTCGATCCCTGATCCCTGTCTTTTTCCAGCTATGCCTCTGCTCGCAAAGGAGAGGAGTAAATAATAAAAGTGGGATGCTAATTTCAGTTCCTGGGCTCTAAAGGGGATCCAGCGTCCTGCACTTCACCCCCTGCCTGACTCCTGTGGCTTTTTTGGAACCTGTCCGATGGGCCGAGCAGCAGCCAATGGTCTCTCGCTGCTGTAGCCGTGTCTGACAGACAAGGGATCGCTGTGCTGCCCAGGGGTCCTTTCCTCCCCGATTCACTGGGGTTGCTTAGGAACGGACGCTGGTGAGGTCCCGAGCTGGAATGTTCTGTGTCAGGAATGGAAAAGCTAAACTTTGCCTTTAAATGGGAGCAGGTCTGCCGGGAGAAGTGCATCTGCCCACATCCCAGCTCTGCTTTTGGGTCTCTGCAAATGATGGCTGATACTGGCAAACCAGGATCCTCTGCTGGGGCTTGGGCAGTGCTCGTATCCCAAGAAGCCCTGAGCCCAAAATTAGGGATCTTCCAACCCTTGCCAGCAATTGGAAATGGATGTAGAGAGGGGGATTCCCTCTTCCTGCCTTCTTGCACTCTCCTGGTCTCCAAGCTGGTGACTTTGAGGGTAAAGCCACTCTCTGGGGATGGCAGAGCTGGGCAGCAGCATCCACCTCCTTGCCCTGCCATGGTCCAGCTGCTCCTGCCAAGCTTGCTCTCCCGTACAACTGCTGAGCAGAGACTGGGGCAAGGTGGTGCCAAAGACGTGGCTGGTGGGAAGAGGGAGTGCAGCAACACGGCACCAGTGAATGCCAGGAGCTGTGGATTCAGCTGTGCTGTCCAGGGATGCAGCGCTGGCAGTGAATGGGTATGAGACAAGGCAAAGGCACAGCTGTACGGTGCCAAAGAGGGGACAGACTGTCACAGGGCACTGACACAGGGCAATACTTCTCAGGAAAGAAGTTCAAAGTTGGGTTCCTCCATGGCAGGAGCGTTTGAGTGGGTGGGAGTTAATTGTTATGGGTTGGATGAAGAAAGCAACAGAGAGACTGAGCAGCTCGGGATGGGAATGATGGGCTTTTGAGGACACACCAGGACGTCCCCATGTCTTACAGAGGATGGGTGTCCAGCATGGCCCTGAGCACAGCCTGTATTGCCTGCAATTCCACCAGGCTGGGTCGGGCACTGCATTCAGGCATCCCCTACGGCTGCAGCGGGCTGCAATGGCTGCTGACCATCTGGACTTGCTGATGTAAGGCATAAAAATGGCCTTTCTGTCACTCCTGCAGAGATGGCACCGGGTACCCACGCTCCAGGGGACCTGCCCATTCCCTTCTCCTGGCCAAGCCTCTGTCAGCATCCCTGTGGGCTCAGCCCACACGCCGCTAACTTGGAGGATTTAAGGACGGAAGGTGCCAAGCTGGAATGGGTCAGAGAGCAAAGCTGCCACTCTGTCAAAGCCTGTGAAGGGAGTGCAGATATATTCTCAGTCTAGCCTCAGTTTCCCTGCTGCTCCAAGTGATCTTGACCCAGATCCTAAAGAATCCTGGATTGTGCCCTCCTGCTTTGAAGGATTTGACACTTCCTGACCTTATGCCCCTTTCCCAGGGGCAGATGGAGGGAGACCTCTGCACTGCAGAGGCTCCCTGGGAGGAGTCTGATGCTTCCAGCTCCTGCAATACCCTCCCCAGAGAAGAAGGACAGGGCACAAACCCTCCTGTTTCAAAATGCATCTTGTGCAACAGTGAAACATGGAATTCATCTCCTGTCTGGCCAACAGCTCACTACGTCTCGGTAGCTGGCTGGCTGAATGGGGACCCCCAGGGAGGCACTGCTGGGCTGGGTCAGAAGTTGGTGCATGTGTGCCAGTACCCTGTCCTGGTCCAGGTGACCTCAGGCAGCTGCAGGCTCTCTGATTTCATGTGTCTGCTGGGGTTTTTTGCCTTTTTACTCTAGCAGCTATTACAGAACATGGTGATGCTGGAGAAAAATCCTTCCTGAATCAGCTGTGTGGCTGCTGTGCCAGCTGGGTGACTTGTAGGACACAGGGCTCACCACAGCCAGTTTCTGCATGCCCAGGAGTGTCTGCCCGGGCAGGCTGTGCACTCAGACACAGTGTGGAGGTGAAAGGCTCCGTCATCCCAAATCCCTTTAGTCGTCTTGGCCTCTGCTTGAGTATTTTTAACCTTTTTGCTGTGCTAAGCTGCCTGCGGCTGAAGTGTCAGTGGGCACTGGGGAATACAGCCTCTCACTGCTTTGCCAAGCCCAGGATTTCAGGATCAGTGTCTCTAATCCCTGGATCCTGAAATACCTTCTTCTGCTGCAGTGCATTTTGACAATTTGAGTGCCCGTGGGTTTAAACAGGGGAAGGGGCTGCCTTGGCTGCAGGGACTGGAGGCCACATGCTCCCCTGCTGGCATCTGTATCTGATCCTGCTGGCACTGGGAGGTCCCTCCCTCAGCAGTGTGAGATGAGAGGTCCCTGTGCAGGGGGATGCTCTCTCCCACACTGAAACACCCAAGAGAGAAATGCTCCATGATTGCTGTCAAGTCTGACCCCTTGTTTTCTCCTGCCAGTCCAGCCTGTCCTGACACAATGGGTCTCTAGTTAATGAGGAGTGCAGTCATGGCTGTTTCTGGATGGTGACTGACTGTGTGTCCATCCCTCCGAGCTCTCTGCAGAGCCGGCTGTGACTCTGTGCTCACCAGGTGAGCTCTGCAGGTTGGTGACCCACTGCTGGTTCTGCAGCTGGCTCCCTGGCATTCCCTGCTGTCTCTGCTGTTGGAAGCCCATCTCCTCATGGCACAAGGGATCCAGTTGCTCACCTCTTGCCACTGTGAATGGAGGAGCTGAGCCTGAATGCCAGCTCTGGTCCCCCTCTGTAACATTGCCTTGGTGGGCTCAGCCAGGTCTGCAGGGCAAGGGCAGAGCAAAACTGCCATCCTCTCCTGCTGCTGGAGTGGCTTTTGGGGTAAGGACCCTTCCATGTCCTGCCTAAATTAAAGTTAGCTTTGAGTTCTTTTAATTTATTTTAGGTGAGGAGGAGGAGTCCAGCTGAGCAGTCATGATGTGCTCTCATGGAGCATTTCATGGTTGCACTTTTCAAGTTGCTTCTCTTATTTGCCTGGAGTTACTTCTCTGGGTTCCTTTCTGGGGTCAGTGGTGGGTATCTCGTAGCTGGCTCTCAGAGGCTGCTGTCACATTGCCAGCTCTGTGTGGAAATGCCAGTGAGGAGAAGGGGTTTGTGCTGGCTGGTGAGGACCTTGCACAGGGCATGTTGGTGACAATTTCCCATGGGGAGTGTCACTTCTCACTGCTGCAGCCACTGCTGCTCCCCCACAGCTTGGGGCCTCTGAGCTGCAGAAGCATCAGTGGTTTTGTTTTACAAAGAGGAGTTGGGGACTAATAGGAGAGGTTTTGGTGTCTGCTTGTGGCCCTATCCCCTGGGGATGAACACAACCAGGGCACAGCATCCACCTGTTCCTGAACCACCTCAACATGAGCTCCACAGCCTCTGGTCAGGGCTGGTGGTATCCCACAAAAGCATGACTTTCTGCTCCCTGCCTCCTCTTTGCTTCCTTCTAGTGCCCTGCTGCTGTCACGTGTTACTTCTTGAGGACCTGGGACTTCTCCCTCTACAAATCCAAATTCTAGAGGGAAGAACTGTGCAAGAGCGGGTGGAGGGAAGCCTGTGTGCCTGCTGGCTGGGATGTCTTGGGCAAAATGCTTTCACTGCTCAAACTCTTTTCTCACTTTCCTTTCACCAAACCTACTTAATGACTCTCAGTACATTTAACAGAACCCTGGAGTGTTTTCTCTCTGCACATTTTTTCTGCTGTAGCTGTTTTAGCCTTTGATTCGAGTTGTCAGCCATCTGGGCTGTCACACCTGGCTGTGTGCTGCCCAGTCTGGCTGTGGTGATATATGTTCATACTCAGAGCAGCACCAGGGAGGAGGCAGTGTGCTGGCAGGGATTGGAATATTCTCCTTTTCCTTTGTTTTTTACTCCAGAAGGTTCATCAGTACAGGGTCTTGCTGTGTGTGCTCCTCTGGCCCCGTGGTCACACAGCCCAGTGTCCCTGCCCTGATGCCACTGGGATGTGACTGCCATGCTGTCACTGAGGGATCTTTCTTCCCAGGGGCAAAAAGGTTGTGTCCTCCCAGTTGTTCTGTACTGATCAGGAGCAGCAGAAAGAAGTGTGGGGGGATACCTGTCTGTCCAAGCAGTGCCACTGTGTGGCACCTTCAGATCTGCTGGTGTCAGGGTGGAGCATTTGGGGTGTGGGCAATGCTTCACCTCCTTGCCAGCAGCCCACAAATTCCCACCTAGGACTCCATCAGTCTATTAATTCTCAGGCAGTGAGGCTAAAAAAAGCTTTTTCTGACAACCTCCATCTGTGCACTCCCACTTTAAAAAAAGATTTAAATACAATTTGCACAACTGTAATTGATTTAGATGCAGCAGAGAAGCCATTTGCAAATAAGCAAACTGCTGCACGAGGCCTTGACCAGTACAACCTCCCTTGGGTCCGTGGAGGGAGGGGAAACCTTCCTGTGTGGCAGAGCTGACCAGGGAGCCTTGATGGTGTGCTGGCAATAACGTGGATCCTGGCTGATGCTCAGTGTTGTTGGTTAATGCTCTGTTTTATGTGGTTTGGGGGGGTTTTTGTTGTTGGTTTTTAGATACACATAACACTCTTCTCTTTTCTTCAGGACAGAATCATCAATCTAGTTGTTGGTGGCTTAACAACCTTGCTGCTTGTAGTAAGTATCTCCTATCCCACCCCATGTTGCATCAAGTGACACGGAGAAAACCAGAATTCCTCCCCAAAAATGGGTGGTGAAGCTTCCAATGACCAAAGAGGCTCTGATTTAGGACAGGCAGTCATTTTGGGACATACTTGTCTTTAGAAACTCTTTGACAACAGGAGAAGGGGAATACCTTTTTTTAAGAGCTGCAATAAAATCCTTGAAGTTCTCTGGCAGATTGTCCATCCTGGCTGAACGTGAGGCTGGCTGAGACAACAAAAACACTTGTGTGCCAGGAGAGCATGTTTGCTTCTATTTCCTTCTATTTATGATTTAGTGTCCTCTATTTATGGCTTACAGAAGTCTTTCCAAAGTTTGTCCCTTTGTGCTGAGCTGTGCTTTCCCCGAGCTTTAAAGACAAACCTGACACTGTCAGGACTGGAGACCATGAGTGTGGCCCACGCGGGGATTGCTGGAGAGCTGAGTGCAGGGAGGCTGTGGGGACAGGAGAGGAGCCAGCTGGTGGAACACTTGGCTGAAGGGATGCTCCTACATGGGCACTGTGCACCTCTGGGCCTGATGGCTCCAAGGCTACTTGGAGGGTGGTTTCTGCCAATAAGCCAGCGTGGCAAAGCTTTTGGCAAAGTTTTTTTCCCACTCCTCTCAGTGTGCAGCTGTATCAAAGTAGTTTTCCTCCAAACTTGCACATTTTCCTTCAGGTCTTCAGGGGTGGGAGTCAGAGACCAGGGAGGGGTGTGCAGATCAGGATGTGAGCGCTGTGCTGCTCCAGCCCTTGGGCTGAGCCTCTTCTCACTGCAGCTCTGGCCAGAGTGAAATCCTCATCTTTGTTTTCCTCCATACAGGTCACTCTAATCAGTGCTTTTGTCTTCCCGCAACTACCTCCAAAACCTGTGAATGTATTTTTTGCTTTCTGCATCTCCTTGTGTTGCATTTCTGCTGGCATTCTTGTAAGTACCGCCACGTTTGCCATGCTTCGGAGTCCATGGCTCTGAATAAAATCTGCTTTACGTGGTGCTGCCTTCTTTTTTACTCTCCTAGAAATGCTTTCCTGCCTCCATAATACACAAGCTGACAATGAGGGAGTGGCAGTGAGTTTTGCATTCACTGCAGAGTAAGAGTGTGAACTGAGCCGGCTCCTGCAGCCCAGCTGTGGTGCAAGACTTGTCACTTCTGTGGCACTGCCACCCACAGCTGCCAGTGGGGACACAGAGCAGGAAACCAGGGAGCAGAGCACTGAAATGGGAATGCAGAGATGGATTGTGCTGCAGAAGACACCTGAAGGGGGATCAGCCATGCACTTGCATTAGTCAGTGACCTTTCAAACACAGGGGATGGGTTACAGGGGTAAGCAGCTACAGCAAATGGAAGATGTTCCTCTACTCAACAACTGCAGAATTCCAAGAGAGCTGGTCCCAAGCACTGGCAGGTCTGAGTTCGCAGAATGGTTTGGGTTGGAAGGAGCTGTCAAAGACCATCTAGGCCAACTCCCACGGGCAGGCACATTGGTGGCTCCTTCTTCTGCTGTAGCTTTTCATACTTGGAGCGTTCTCCTTCCTCCAGTTGTGGCCTGGAACAGCCCTGAAGCCCTCACTCCTGAGTATGCTGGGAAGTTGCTCTGCACCCCCTGGTCAGTCCCAGTTTTTGATCCTACAGCTGGTGGCCACAACTCTGCCCAGAATAGACTGTGTTAGTGCAAAGCCTCAGTGTTTGTCCTCATCCACCAGGGTGCAGCCAGCTTTGAGAGTTAAAACACCCCCAGCTAAGCCACCCACTCTCCCTCCCTCTCAGCAAAGCTGAGACAGCACATGTCCTCAGGGCAGTTTCACATACAGACACTCACACACTCAGTCCCTCTGGCCAGAGGAAGTCGGATTGTTTTACAGGAAGAAAAAAACACCCAAAACTAAACCTGCAAGTTGCCAATTCAGTTACCAAAGAACGTTTCCTCAGAATATCTAGCTTTTTGAAATAACACCAACTCCTTTTCTCTTCTAGATCTACTGGTATCGACAAGGAGACCTGGAACCCAAATTTAGAAATCTAATTTACTACATATTGTTTTCTATTGTCATGTTATGTATATGTGCCAACCTGTACTTCCATGAAGTGGGTAAATGAAGGACATTGGGAATACCCAGCAATGATGCTGCTGTGTCAGACTGCTTCCAGCTCAGCTCTCAGCTCTACTCGAGACATTTAAGTGAGAACCACCAGCCTGAGAGGAAAGAAGTGGGTTGTGCAAGGATAAATCAGTACATGATTTTCATGTAAATGTATATGTAATGTCCCTCTTGTTGGGGAGAATTATTGCCATAAGACGTGACATTCTGCTTTTTTTTGAAGAGCTACTGTTGCGCTTAATGAACATTCCAGTTGTACTGATGTTTCAGAATGGCACAAGCTTTTTCATTTTGGAAAAAACTGCACTTTTTTTTATTACTGTACAAATAAACTGCAGCACTGAAAGGATCTGTGGCAGTATAAATAAATGGCATCTTACAGTCAAGTAAGACAAATACTCTTTATTTTGTTGAAACTGAATATACAATTATTTCTGTTCCCTAGGCAACCATTTAAAACTACAACTTATTTTTCACATTAACAAAACCACAGACTGAAAAAGACCAACTCTTGATTATGAAGAGCTAATTACAGAAATAAATAAAATAATTTATACAAGTCTTTAGTTTCTATAGCTTTTTCTCTTGATTCCTAGCTAATAGGCTGCTGTTCAGCCTAGTGTCTGTTTCAAACAATGTAGGAATTAATTGGCCTTCTTTGCCCTGAGGCCCTATGTCCAGACTCTCACAGAGCTATTTTTCCAAGACTTTGCCACCCTCACACCACTCCCCATTTACTAACTTGCTGCAGAAATCACGTCTGGAGAGGTGGCTGGTAGTGTCAGGTAAACAGCAACAAACATTCCAACCTACTCACAACAATGTCCAAAAAATTCCAAGCTTGTTGGGGGAGGCCGGTGGGTCCCAGTAGCTTCCCTTTCTCATAGCCCTTCCCTTTTTATTTAGCTTGCTGTAGTGATGAGAGAAAAAAAAAAAAACCAAGAAAAGATTTTCCACAAGTGATCCTTCTGAGCTCTGTCCATTGCCAGCAATGGACTCCTCAGGAACAAGCAGACCAGGAAAGTCCCATAAGCTTCTGCCTTCTTCCTATGCCACAGACATATGAACGAGTCAGGTGAGACGGGAACACACCCCACTGCTTCACGATGCTGCCCATGCTCCCTGAAGTCTCTGATGGAACTTACTCCTTCCTGAAATGTAACAGTCTCTTACTCCATGTATTACAAGAGTCAGTAAGTGCAAAAATCCTCACCCATTCTTCATGAAACCTGTGCAAACTACTACTTGCTGCGGCACTAAGAGGCTGCAGTCCACAATCCTTGACTTCTGTCCAGTTTTCCACGTGTGCAGTTCAGCACATCAGTAACAAGTCAGATCAGAACTGACTGGATGGATCTGAGCACTGTGAGCACTGCAACAGAGGCTCTTCAGCACACTGGAACACCCCAGTGAGACGTGGCACCTCAGGCCTCGGCTGGCAGCTCAGTCCTCCCTCCTGGATGAGGGAAACAGCCTGAGCAGAGAAAGTGCACCATAGTCATTTCACACTGGAAGCTTCTGTTCAAAGAGACAGACTGTGACTGCTTTCTTTGGAAACGTGGCACAGGGTTGTAACTAACTTCACAATGCAAACATGGTCATAGGAAATGGACACCACTGGTGCTTCTCAGTGACAGCTCACTAAATCCTCAACATCCTTTGAATCTTCTGAGTCAGGACTGCCCAACGATGAGCCAATAATGTGTGACCCATCTCCATGATGTTGTAGGATAGGATCTGGCAAGGGACAAAAAGCATTAAAACTATTGCTGTGCCATTATAACAAGATATACAACACAAACTTAGGAGACAGGAAATGTAGCCTGGAATTCTAATCAATTACAGGCAGTGTTGCTCAAACTAGGCAGTTTGCAATTTCTAGATTCACAGGAACACAGAATAGTTGGGGTTGGAAGGGACCTCTGGAGTTCCTCTAGTCCAACCCCCTGCTAAAGCTGGTTCAGCTAGAGCATGTTGCACAGGACCACATCCAGGTGGGGTTTGAGTATCTTTAGAGAAGGTAAGTGATGGCCAATATGGATGGATATGGATGCAATGGTGTGACTGGCATTTGCATCCATCAGGTACTGCACTATCAGTGCTGACCCTCTGATGGCTCTACAGGGAGATCCTTCCTCTGGGGAGGAGTATTTGTAAGGTTATTTGCAGTTTTATAGCACTGATATGTAAAATTATGTAAGGGAAAGCAAGGATCTGTGAAGTGCTGTCTGCAGAGACTCAGAAGCTCTACACACTGCTTTAATGGCAGGGACTGTCATACCTGTGAGAGTTGTCAAGGGCAATACTGATTCACTGTCGATATCGTCCGTTGCCTGGATAAAACCATGGGAAGAAGGAACAATAAGCACAGTCTCATCATCTATTGTAGGCTGATCAACTTGTTCTTCTATTGTTGGGGAACCCAGATCCTGCACAACACAGAACAGGCCATGAGGGTGTATTCATGGTAGCATAAACACAAACCTGCATTGCTCAGCCATACTCCACTCTGGATGAATTTTATTTCATTAAACTGAAATGTCACCACCTGAGATAGTTTATTTCAGCATTTACAGGGCATGTTATCTTAGTGCAGGCACCCAAGAACACGATGAGAATAATTTTACCCTGTTAAGCAATGTGAAGACAAAGGGAGACACTGCAAGGTGGTGTTCCCTTGCAAGTCAAATATTAAGTCTATGAAGAGGAATAATTAGGCTTTTCCACTACTTTCTGTCTAGATGTTCTGAGACTGAAGCATTACCTTTATAGCACTTACCTGCTCCACAAACCCAACAGCTTTACCTTAAATTTCATAACACCTGTTGTCAAGTTTTAACTGAGACTGAACACAGAGCTCAAAAGACCCACTTTATTTGCTGTGCCTTGCTTGGTCTGTCACTGGCTGGAATTTGGCTCCAGACTTTTTTTGCTGAACCTGATGGTACCACAAGACTGGCAAGACAGTGATTCCTTCTAGGCACAAGTTGTCAATACCCTCATTCTCTTCCAGTCCTGCCATTGCTGCTGCTCCTGCCTCTTCCCTGGCTCCTGTGGTACTGGAATGGCAGCAACACATCTGGCTGATTCAGTGTCACAGCACACTCCTGGCTCCACAAATGCAGTGAAAAGTCATCCCACACATTACTGCCAGAACCAGCGGAGATATTTGGATTCCACTTTTTGTGTGTTAACATGTGCAAGGTTTGTTCAAACTTCAGGAATCCCTGATGTACAATGCCAGCAGTTGCTGCTGACACAATGTAAGGTACCTGGATTTCTCACTGTTTTCAGAGGTTACAGCTCTCTGTGTTTAAGAAAATCCTGATGTTCCTCCACCTTGTTTTTTGTAGGAAAACTTGTTTCCCTACATAACTCCACAGTGTTTTTTCAAGGCAGCTGTCTGAAAACCCGTTCCTTGATGCTGCTGGAGAGGAGCTGACAACCTGTGCTGCAGCTCAGTGAACTGCACTAGGTCCCAGCCACAAGGGCATGGTGTGCCTGACCTGCAGGAGCAGCTCTCAGCAGAGCACACAGCTCTGCCCACCAGCAGCACTGGGCTGCAAGGCCTGGAACTGGGAAGAGGAGGCGTGAAAAACTAAAGAAGCCATTGTGGCAAATGGGCACCTTTCCCAGCCAGAAATAATAAAACCTTGCAGCATGACTGCCTGCCTCCCACTACCCACCCACAGTGACAATACAACCCTGGCAAGCTCATAAAAATAACACTGACTTAAAGAAAACAAAATTCAGGCATGTTTTTCTGGAGTAACTTTTCACTGAGGATTACTCACAGACAGTTCACTATTTCCTAGAATTTAAGTACACATGTCAAACTTGAATCTGACTTGAAGGGTAAGGCAAATTAGAATTACAAATTCAGTTTGTTTTTCTGTATAGAAAAAAAAAAGTTTAGTTTTACATTCTGCTAGTCATGAGCTATTTGTATAAAGTTAAACTAGGAACTAAATTTTTAATATCAAAAGTTTATTAATTCTACCTTGAGAAGCTGAATTTCTAAAATGAGAATATAAGCTGATGGCCTGCCTCAAATGTTGAAAATCTTATCACAATTATGTCAACCATGACACAGAAAGAGGAAAATGGAAGAATAATCCCCATCTTCTGATGTATTCAGGATTCAGATGCTTCTGTAGTAGCAAACTTGGGATGTACAAAGATTCTCCCTTTTGTAAGAGCATAACAGATATGCACTCTCTATTAGAAGCTTCTTCAAAGACAAGGCCAAAGCATATTAATGATGGATTTTCAAGGCTGACAAAGCAGAAGAGCAGCTACTGTAGAGAACAGTGTTCTAAAAAACGGGAAGGGGTGTTTCATTCTCACTCATCTTTTCTCAAATTCCAACCTAATCAAACTTGTAAAGGAAGAGGAATTTTGTACCGAATAAAGAGTGTTATCTTTTTAGCACCTCTGTTTTCTGTGACTTAGTAATTTTCATAATTCCATCATCTGAAAGAAACACTCCAAATAGCTGTAATCATTTGGATAAACGCATTTCTGCATCTCAGGTGTTGGAGATGAATAAATCTGAGGTCGGAGAGAGAAGTAGCTTAATGTTTCAAACTCCCATTTAACACATACCTGACTGGAGCAGGATGTTTAACAGAAGTCCTCAAAACTGAAAACTGAGGTATAGCTTGAATTATGTTATTAAACTCATAAAGCAAAACTCAAATACTCTAGCTCTCCTTCCTTGCTCAACCTATCTATTGGTGCAGGTGTGTTGGACAATTAACAGCTCAGTTTAAAGCAACAGCATCAAGCAGGAATCACCTGAAGGCAACTGTTCAGTGCCACCAAAGTTTCAGCTTTCCGCTGTCACTATGCAGAAGAACCCTGAGCAGTGAAGAAACTCCACAGCTAGTGAGGTGCTCAGTGCTTCAGATGAAGTCAAATATAAGCTGCAGCACCAAATTAAATGCTGTTACTTTCATACTTGTAACACACTAACAAAGCTCAAGGATAGAGGATCTCAGCAAATACTTTTAGAACTGTGATAAAGAATCACAGAATTGTTTGGATGGGAAGGGACCTTGAAGACCACTCCAGGCCCCATCCAATCTGGCCTTGAACACTTCCAGAGATGAGGCAGCCCACAGCTTCTCTGGGCAACCTGTTCCAGTGCCTCACCACTCTCACAGGAAAGAACTTTCTCCTAATTCCTCATCTAAACCTACATTCTTTCAGTTTGAAGCCATTCCCCCTCGTCCTGTCACTATATGCTCCTATGAATAGTCTCTCTCCATCTTTCTCCCTTCAGCTACCAATATAGATGAAATCACTGAGATATTTCACACCAATAGCTTAACATCAAGGCCACAGAGTCAATGAAATAATTCTCCGTGCAGAAATGGGGAAAACATCAAGTATTACGCCCTCCCTTACCTCAGTAACGTAAGTGCTGGGTAAATCAGAGTGAGAATCCTCATTCTGTTTCAGGCTAGCATCAGCAATCTCCTCCTCTGTTCTTACCATAACTCCATCCATCAGTTCTCTACTATTCCTGCTGCTAAATTTGGAAGCATCATCTTCGTTGTAGGCTGACTGCTCTTCGTCACTCAGCTTGGACTGATGGATATCATGTGGGAAAGTATTTGTTCCTAGGGTGTCTGGAGGATCTGTCAGGTCAGCTGACTGAATGTCTGCATCCACAGTCAGTTCTGTCTGGGTGACAGAGGAGGAGATGTCTTCGGCAGCAACGGTGCGGATTATGACACTCGGCGTGTGGCACTGCACTGTGACGTTGTCACTTGTGTTTAACAAATGCTCTGGCTGTCAGCAGCATTTGCAAAAAAAGAGACAAACAAAACCCCAAACAAGGTCAGAGACTTTCCTGTTACTATCTACAAATCTTTCAAGCAAATACAAGCAAAAGATTCCAATTGCTAAGTGTAGTTTAGAGTTTCATATATACAGTATGTGAGCCCAGATCACCTGTTGACCTCTCCTGTTCCTAAAGAATAACTTTGTAGACTGAATGTAGTGTCATGTGTTCTTTAAGTCACAAATAAAGTAAATACATAATAATATGACAGAGACAACCATTCAGGTGAGGATCACTGCAGATTCAAAAGGCTTTGTAAGTGTTTTTTACACTGAATTTTTTCATCATTTTTGTGATTCAATCTCCAGTTTGCTTTCCCTTCCCTCCCTCTAGCAAAAAACAATACCTGTCACTACTATCCAAGTGTTGTGGACCAGTATCTATTTGTAAGAGTAACTGAAAGCATCACAAAACAACAAGACTTGGTTATGCTGGGGACCAAGCCAATAAATGGAGACATTCTGTTCAGAGCTTACTAACTAAGCTAAGTTCTGAAGCAACCTGAGGTTGCTTTTTAAAACCAATACATAAACCCCAAAATTCTCAGACTTCAGGATTTTAAGCAAAGTAACATTGTTATGACTTAAGAACTGCATTGCAAGTTTAACATGCATGTGCAGGGCCCTGCATTACAATGTCCCCCTTCCCCCAGTGCCCAAACCCCGGCCGTCCCTGCCCAGAGCTCTCACAGATAAGGCGTGAACGATGATCTGCTCCGGGGAGGCCGGAGCTGCCGCGGCTGTCAGGGTCATGGTGGGACTCGTCGTCAGCGTTAAAGGGAGGCCTTGGCTCGAGCTTGTCTGCAGTAAGTAGGTACCTGGTGTCCCAGTGGGCTGGAGGTGGAAAGACTACAAAGACAACAGAGGTTTAATAGCCAAACGCAGTGCTCAGGACATACTGGAGCATTTTGGTTTACATGAACCAGCCTAACTGTAACTCCCCTGGAGAATCACCACAGCAATCCAATCCCTTCTGCACTGACTGCTGCACTGCACTCAAAAAGCAGAAAATAACTCACCTGTAGCCCTAGGCTACCAAGGCAAGTATTAAGGGCAGGAGCCCAGCATGTCTGTGATATGCTGTACAACAGCAGGTAAAAAAGGAACAAATTCAACTTACTTTTGCACTGAGATGGAAGAGAAACCATGCTATAAATTACAGGATAATGGAACTGAGACAATCTTTACTTGCTGGGAGCTTTCTCTGGCTCCTTTATGTCAGATTTCAACAAGGAAAAAAATCCAAGTAGAAAGGAAAACTTTGTAGCATTAAAGGAAATTTAAAGCATTTAACTATAATTCACAGTTTATTAGGCAGCCCTAATGGATTACACTTTTAGAAATAAGTTTTAGAACTCTTCTTTTCACTTGAAAACCTTCCCTTTTTTTTTATTTTGTTTGATTTTTGGAAATGCACACTCACTTGAAAACCTTCCCTTTTTTAAATTTTTTTTTGTTTTTATTTTTGGAAATGCACATTTCTATATTCTAAGAAGTAGCTGGGTTAAAAAGAAAAAAACCACAGAAACAAACACCAGTCACTTACTGGAAGAATCTCAAAGGTCTGTAGTGTTCCACTGTTCAGTGTTATTGTCTCGGAGTCAACAGCAGCGGCAGGGGAATCGGTTGAGGCTGCAAAAGGAAAAAAAAAAGAAAAGGCAAGTATGTAAACCAGAATGTTCAGCCCTGTAGAGAGCATAACATACTATAATTAATACATGGCAGGGTACTGTTAATTCCCCTAAGAGGAAAAAGAAAACTGGCTGCAGTCCTAATGACAAGGTTCTCTAATTGGTACCCAAGATACAAATCTATTTAAAGAGAGCATTCTACAATCCAAAAGAGCAAAAGAAAGTAAGTATGGGTTTAGCACACAGAGATAAAAGCAGAAAATAAAGTTTCTGACATGACTTAATTACTTTTTGTAATGAGATTTGCAAGAGGTTCTAATGTAAGCATACCCTCTGGTGTAAAAATATCCTTTGGATCATGTACTGCTTGTTTTAAACCAGTGTCAGGCTTAATATTGTTGTGTTTCCCATAGACCTCTTTTTCTATTTTTTTGTATTTTTAATCTTTTCTGCCCTCCACAGTATGTCCACCCTTGATGAAAGTTCAGACGCTTCCCAGATATTTGCCTGTCCTGTGTGTTATGACTGCAGCATAAAAGCCATAAGTATTCTTACTACAACTATGTAATTATTTATGCAATTAGATCCACTAATCCTAAAAGTAGTGAAGAGAAGCACTGGAAACAGCTGATGCACCAAGTATTTTAAGATCACCAGGTCCAAACAATTTGTACTCAAAACTTTATAACCATAACTACAATTTCTACTTACTCTTAAAAAAAAAATATCACAAGTTCCAGGAAGCTGAAATCAAATTAATACTCTGCCTGTGGTTTTCCAGTAATTTCCTAAATACCAAAAGGGGAAAAGTTCTACAAGATGATAACAGTGACCCAAGCACTGGAAACTTTGCCATCTCAGACTCCGTGGCTGCAAAATACAGTAATTTTGGTCTCTTAAGAAGATAAAAGCTCAATTTTGAAGCTATTATTGTTGTAGTGGCATGTTCAAGGTTTTCTGCTGCAGATTTCCTGGTACTCAGCAGCAGAGAGCTGTAAAGTGTGGCCTGTCAGTCACCTAGCCAGTATATTCATAAAACGTCAGGAACTGGCCCTTTGAAACCTTGAGCCTTCCACCAAATGCAGCTGAAAGTGCTAATACGTTCAGCTCCCATGGGACTGTGAAACACACACTACACAATTCACTGTGATTACACAACCAGAAATTCTTCAGAAAAACAGACTAAAAATGGGGGAAAAGGCTTGTTAGGCAGACATGGGCAAGTGAAGTCACAAAAGAACCATTACAGGATTTAATTCAGAAATAACTAAAGGTTCCAGGATCCCAGCCCATCTTGCCTGCTCATCAAAACCCATCAGCTTCGATCAAGCTTCACTGAAATCTCAGACTACTGACATATTAAGACAGATAAGAAGTTCTTGGCTTGGTATCATCTGTCATTCTAATTAGAAAATAAACCACATAAAATGAAGCTAGCACTTAATAAATAGATTAAGAAAGATTGATCTAATAAATTTATAAACAGAAAATTGTTTGCTAAATGCCTATTCAGGCATAGTCTGAAGAACCAGTTTGTAGACTGATCAGCTTAGCTCAGAGCAGGGTGTCAATAATGCCAGGGCTATGGGTCCATTTCCTGTATGGGACATTCATTTAAGAGCTGGGACTCGATGATCCACGTGGATCCTTTCCAACTCAGAATCTTCTGTAACTAATTTGGTAATCAGCAAGACCAAAGCACTAAATTTTCCTAATAAAATTTACAAATCGCAAATGGTACAAAATAATATACAGTGCAGATGACAGACTGCATGTGACTGGAGTTACTTAATAAGATTAGTTACAAAATCAAGCAGTAAGAACTACACTCAGAGCAGATCTGGTAATCAATGTTAGATAATGAGCAAAGTTCATCCTTAAGAAGCATGGGAAGCATCAACTTAAAAAAAATACAGTGGTTTAGGAGAACACTGGCTGAATGTTGGTGTGACTTAGTAGCTACATTTTGCAGAGTGTTTGTGACTAGAAACAACTGCATAATAAAGGACTTGGAAAACACATTTATACCTTCCCTTCAGTGCCCTGCATCAGAACTTAGGCACAGCAGTCTGTAACTTACAAAAGGAAAACTCGTACATGACATTGATTGCATGGCACAAGGGTGACCAGAAACAACTTAAGGAATAAACATACACACTCTATCTTCATTAAGAGGTTTGTGCACTGAAGGCTGTTCAAAGAACAGGTTATGTGGCATGTGTTCACACAGAAAGACACCTACAACACCAGTGTTCAGGTGCTCCAATTGTAGTTTCTTGGAACTACAGTCACAGCAGTATCTACATTTGCCTAACAAAGTTAGAAACGGGTAAACGGAACACAGAAATGTTTCTGCTGAAGTTATGGCAGGACCAAGGGAGAATGAATACAACTCTTTAAGACATGCTCACTCCTCCTTCACCACCTTAGCAAAAGCAAGTTCCAGGCTTTGTGTGAGTGGTTTGTTGCAGTACTTACAGACGTGGGTGATCTGCACTGGGATCTGCAGAGCTGCCATGGGGCTCGGGGCACTGCCCGTGCTCTCCTCCAAGCGAGCCACCCGGATCTGCACGTGCTGCACCCCCGAGCTGGAGTTAGTGTTTGCCAAGCCACTGCCACATTTGTTCTCTGGAAGCTGGTGCCCTGGATTGTTTTTTTGGTTCTCGTGGAGCTGTTTAAGACCCTTTATCAGCACTGAGAGAAAAAACACTCATGCTAAAGCAGGTTGAACAAGCACATTTGAAATGCTGCAACTGGTGATTTACCCAAGATGAAAAGAGCAAACAAAATCCTACAGAATCTGGAACTTAAGCAATCTCCAGAGATACAGAAACTAGAAATTTAGCACATACATAGACCATTTACAGCCAACTACAGCAGTGAACTAGATTTCCTCATGGAACCCAGGCACTTCACAATGCTTGAGGGAAAAAACAACAAATAGCCTATAAAATTTTGGAACTCTCTAAAATGATGCATGATATATCCCCAACCTACAATCAAGTGCAAGTATCACTAGCTGGGTAATGCTGCTACCAGAAGTAAATCCTCCAGTCTTCTACAACACAGAAGCAGATTTGTTCAAGAGCTTGACAGAAATGTCACTGAAAATGGGGAGCAAGAGAAAATGAATCCCACAGTGGTTATATCACAATTCTTCACCTGTGCAAGAGGAGGCCCACTGCTCCAACAGAACCACCCACCCTTCTTCTCTGTGATTGCTTTGGGAGCAGCTGATTTAACAGCAGGTCACAAAACCTGAGGCCTCAGCTTTTCTAGACTTCATTACAACAAACTGCCAAACATCTCCTCTTTGTCAGGGGAAAGAGAGCAGAGCTTGTTGATTCAGTGCTGCATTTATCTTATGAATTATTTGCTGCAACAACTACCTATTAATGTGTGGTAACAGGGGCTCTGCTCCCAGCTGCAGCCTTGAGGCAGAAGTAATATATAACCACATTGTCAACCACAGCACAAGTGTGCATTAAATTACATCTTTCATTAATTATGACATGACTAATCTCCCTGATTTTTTTCCTCTCCCCAAGTAAGACAAAGGAAGGTCTGAAGGTCGCAGACACCCCTTTGGCTTAGGCACTAGTTTCTCCAGGCCAGAATGGGAAAATGGTATGAAATATGTTTGGGGAAGCTTTATACTACTGACTCCTCCCCTCCTCCTCACTGCAGCTAGAAGTAGATCTACTTTCTGTCTACAGCTAAGGCTCAGCACCTGACAGATTACATTTTAACATCGTAAAGGCTAACCTGAGGCAGATACATATCCTCTTCCACCTGAAGAGGTCACTGCCCTCCATACCAAAGATCAGCACGATCTGAGATCTGCCAGCTGAGCTGCTTATATACATACTCTCACTTTAGCCAAAGTGAGAAGGGATGGCAAAGTCTGTCTAGTTGTAGACGTCAGCTTGGCCTGTTTGACTGAAACACTTAAGGATTGTTTGTAGGAGCAATTCAGCCAGCAGATCCAAGGGGCCAGTAACTGCCAGCAAAGGAGCAATGTGCTCTTTGGCCAGCAATACTGTGAGCAGACAACAAAATGCAGCCTTATTCCTCTGACATATGTGAAAGAAACCTTCAGAAGAGAAGTGCAAGTAGTACATTACCAGGGAATGAAACATCTTTGTGGTTTGCAATCTGTCTTTTAATGGTCCACCATTTACTCCGAAGCCACTGCGGGGAGCGGACACTACTCCATCCCTCAGCCAGTAAGTCCCAGTTGATGTCATTTTCATCAGAAACTTCCAGTTCCGCTATCCTGGCAGGATACAGAGAACATGGACCTGTTAGAAACTGCCCTCCAGACCGGCAGCGGTGTCGCACACGTCCGGCCGTGTCACACGTAACAGCGCAGAACGACATGCTAGTGACCAGCCCACCAGAGCTCAGGAATCGACACAGGCTTCCAAGGCTCCACGCTGCCAGAGGTCAAGCAGAATCATAAACAACAGAAGATGGACTAGACCTGTTAGATGATCCAGTCCATCTCCTTGCCATGCAGGATTATTCTCCTTGTTTACTTATACATTAGGTCTTAGATCGGATTATCGTGAAGCATTCCAAGTGGTGGTACTTGCATCTTTTCTTTTTGAAAAAATATTCCCCAAACACATCTCCAAGGCAGGAAATACTTCCTGAGATTCACTCTGAACATTCACTTAATTAATTTCATGTTATGATATTTACTTGTTTTCTTCTAAGTAACAACCATCCGTCCTTAACACAGATTTTTGCCTTCTCTCAGATGCTTCTTAGCCAAAGTAGATGAAGTTAACTACAGCATTAAACACTTCCTCATAAATCAATCCCGACAGGCTCTCCAGATAAGGGACAGTCTTCTCTACCAGAATTTGTTTGAAATCACTAAAAATCTCTGAATTGCCCTTATCTGTACATAGAACATATGAAAGAGAGGTGAATAGTGAGGGGAAAACATTTTTGTGGAAGTTAAGAAAAGTCCTCTTCACAAATAAAGCAAGAGCACTCTTGCTAGATAAAGAAATAAAGAAAGTAAAAATGAAAAAAAAAAAAAAACAAAAAAAACCCTACCAAAACCAACCCTGTAGAATAAGTAAAGGATATCTGGACAGACCAAACCAGAAATACTAAGAAATATACCCAGCACATTCTGAAATGTGGAATCAGGCTCCTCATTTTGAGTTTATGTCAAACAGCTTCAATAAATTTGTTAATACTACTTTGTAAGTAATCCCTAGATTCCCTGAATGTCTTGGCTTTTTATTTCCACCCAACCCATAAAAATCCACTGGCTAAAAAGCTTGAGTTAAAGGCATTCAAAATGGGAGGAGGACTGGAGAGCAAAAGATTTCCAAAGTCACTACCAGGCTGCCAGTTCAAATGTAGTCAGAGATGCTGATATCCAATCAGTGTTTGTTGGCCTACATGAAATTAATTTGCAGTCTCACTTTAGCTCTTTGTAGACAAGATGTCCACATCACAGAAACCACCACCACACTTGACCCTTGTTGGTCATCTCAGCAGAGAGGCCAAGGACTGAACGGGCAGGGAGACTGAGCTACCCTCCAGTTAAGGGTTAAAGCGCATCGGTGGGGCAACGTGTGGGAAGCTTGCACGGTTTGCTGCCTGTGCTGTACCTTTTCTGTGGAATAAAGAAGACTTCAGTCTCCAGGGTTTTCAATCTGACACCTTTCACGAACACTAACATTCACTAAAAAAACAAAAAACAAAAAATATGTTCAATAATAAATCTCTGGGAACTGTAAACACAGCAGTGATTTTTGGAAGGTTCTAGAATTTTCAGTGTCTAGGAAACCAGCAAAATGGACCCCAATGGAATCCTGCTAGCAACATATATTACAAACCTTTAAAAGTAACTAAAATAACAAACCTCAAGATGAGATTTATTTCATCCTCCTTGGTCCACTCGGTGCCTCCACTTTGTTTCCAGTTGAGATAGTTGAGCCATTTAGAGCGGCACTGCTTCTCCGAGCGCGTCCCAACCCGCTCTGCCACCGCAGCCCACGACACACCTTGTGTGACAATGTCACCCGGCTCTGTGCTTGTCAGCTCGTGCACTACTTCTGCCAGTCTTTTCTCTTCTTTCTCTGTCCACTTTCCTGAAAGAGACAGAAGCCCTCCACCTTAACCAGCAGCACATACCCTCTGTTCTGATCCCTAACATGCAGCAGATATTTAACTGCCATGTCCAACACCTTATTCCAGATGCAAGTATTAACTTGTGAAGATGTAACTGTTCTTAATTACTAACGACTTATATTATATCCATTCTTGATTAACAAATCAACAATTCCATTGTTCTGCTGCCAAATTTCTTTTCTCTTCCTCTCACAGATGAATAAGGCCACACAGAACTTGTCCAAATAGTGACCAGAGCAAACTGACCCAAGCTATCTGAACTGTATTAGCTGGAATGAATTAACCATGCAACAATTTAGTGCACATTATTCACATGAGGTCTGACTGAATTTTCCTTTATACTTGAATATATACATTACAAAATAAACAGTACTTTACTCCTGAAGTGCATCTGTCTCTCTCTTGACACTAAACATGCAGTGTAACTCTATAACCATTAAACACAAGGATAGAATTTTAACAGAATATCAATTTCTGACACCAGCATTTACCTCACCTGTGTTGCAGGTATCCTTCATCAGTCTACATCGATCCTTTACAGATGAAGCACTTCTCCCCAGGGCAGCTCCTATTGTGGCCCAGTCATTACCATGCTTTACTCTCAGCCTACAGAGAAACATGCTCATTAGCACTATATCCACTTAGGAAATTACCAAAATCTAAAATATTCACTAATAAAACCGGGATGAATGTGCAGTTTACAGGCTTAAAGAGAGAATGGGGAAATCACTTTGCTACTTCATTATTACTATTTTCTGCTACTTTTTCCTACGTGTTTCTAGAAGCCTTTTGGACCATCTAAGCTGCAAAATACTTATAAAATGCATAGTATCTGTCTTGCAGGAAGATTGTGAGGCTTAATGAGTGTGTTAAACACAATATGAATGTTTAGATAAACAGCTGATTTCCATTCTGTACAGGTTCCTCAATGATTTTCAGGTGGTGTAGAGAGCACTTGAGAAATTTCAGTAATACCCAATGAAAACCCAGGCATTTAGAATTTAAATTAAGCAAAACACTGCATAATCATGTTCATCATTTTAGCAATCATCTCCCTCCTTCACATGACAGCAGGCTGTTTAAAATGTTGAATCCATGAGTAGTTCTGACACATGTGGAATCAAAGGCACCTTGTGAACGACACAAACCAGCTCAAGTGGTCCAAACAAATCCATCAATGCAATATACTCCTTTCCTTCCTTCAGTCCAACAGTTCCTTCCAGCTGCTCAACCCTGGAAATGTGCAGGAGGGGATAAAGTCTGCAGCCCCATCTCCTTGATCTACCAGGTTCACACTCAAAATTAGACTTTTTGAGCTGTACTGATAATTTATGTATCTGTAATACCTCCTAGGGGGAGATCCTACTCTTGACCTGCCACTTCCTTTAGGAATAACCTTTGCTCAAATTTCGTAAGGAAAAGGAACTTCTATTTCTCATAATCACAGTATTGACTGTGCTTGTAAAAATCTGAAACTTTCCTAGTTACAACAGAAGCCTTGCTTTAGAACCTTGTTGCATATTGTTAGGTAGGTCCTAACATATAGGTTAGGTGAACACACATTAGAAAGAGAATCTAAGAGAATCCAAATGTAGTTTCATTTTTCTTTAGATAACAACCATTACTTTTGGGTAGTGTTGGCACAGTCAAATTTATTTGTAACTCTTCAATGATTTCATATAAGGAAATCTTTAAAAATGGATCAAGCTACTAAATACAAACAAGGAAGAATGACCTTGTTCATAAGATAACTTACTCTTTAAGCTTTTCAATTTCCTCAGGAGTATACCTAAACAACAGGTAAATAAAAAGACATTATTTTATACAGAAAGCACACAGCATAAATATTATTATTTCATTAACCACACAACGCACATTTAGCTACAAGAAGAGATTAGGGAATTTCAGCTGTAAGAAACAATCTGACTGAATACTTCAGAAGAATGTGAGGAACAAATGCCATTTTCCACATTAGTGCATTTCTAAGATTAACTGGTATAAGATTGCTCTCATTTGTCAGAAAAATTCCTCAATATCCATGATCTTACTCCTATGAACAGAATTAGAATTTTCTGCATTAGTCTTTCAAATAAACAGATTCTTCCTTACTGTTCCAATTCACCACCACTATAAGACTGACTTTCCATCAAAAAAGTATATCAGCACTGAGAAGATATTTTTAATTTTAAACTCCTTCAAACACTAAAGTATAATATCCTTTCTGGATAGCACCAGATCACTGCTTTAAAAAAGGGCAAGCAAGGGCATAAGGGATGAAGATCAATTACTTCCAGGTCACAGCTCTAGAAAAAGTAACATCTTAGCAGATCCATCCTTGTGTCCAAGTCCTGTCATCATATCAGAATCTGTTATTCACCTTTGTTTTGGGTTTTTTGTCTGTTTTTTAAAGCTGTCATTGAATACCATCAATTGAACACAACTGTTGCCAAGGATGATCTATCAGAATTGAGCAGAGGTGATATATTAGCAAGATCTAGGTCTGCTTGGCTACAATTTTCTGTCTCACATAGAACATGTCAAGCATAAATACATGACCCTACTCATACCAATAAAACCATGCAGCATTAGAGGGTTTCATACTTTCCAACATGGTTTCTGTCATCATACATGCGAAGAACTCTTCTATAGACAGCAAAGAGAGGCCGATTCAGACCCCAAGCTATTGTCCTGTAGAAATCTTTTCTTTCATCTTTTGACATTTCAAATATAATTTCAGTGGCATCTTTTATCCCACGGGCCTAGAACAAAGCATTTAAAAAAAAACAAACAAAAACAAAAACCACAAACAAAACACCTTAGATAAAGTCTCCTAGGAATCAAGAAGTAGAATACAAGAACTGAAGCCATTATTCAACTTTCTGTGTATCACAAATACTACAGTCCAAAACTAAAACTGAGTATTTCTGGATTAGCTCCCTCAAATACAAACCCTCGAACACTAAGTTTTGTTGTTTTGGTTTTTTTACGTTGGAGTCCAGGGAGACACAGAAAGTCTAACACCTATCCACATACAATAAAAAAGTCTGTCCAATGTATATTTTAAGATCAAAAACTGAACCATCATATAGAACATGATGGAATACGTACTGTGGTGGAATTAGTCTGGGGCCATACAAGGGAAGGTTGTCAAACAGTGCTATATTGATTTATTACATAATTTTAGCTATTCCTTATGCAAAAGCGATTTCTTTCAATTAAACTACTCTTCTTGTTCTGATGGAAACTCAAATAAATTCAATACAAAAACACTGCAAAGAAGTATAACAGTAAAGCTTAACTTCAGCTTAAACTAAGAATTGCTATATTTCAATTATTCAAAGCAGTACTAGAAAGCAGATACATGGGAAAAGAATGAATCAAATGATTTATCAGTAAGTCAGAAAAGTTATTTAGCTAGCTTAAAAAAGCTTCACTATATTTAAAATGTAGTATTACCCATGAATGATTTTGTGGCAGAAACTTTAATATGTGTGTGGGCAGACACACTCTCTTCAACTAATACTGCGGATTTTTATCCCAATGAACACTAAATTCAAGGCTTTTTTTTTAAACCACAAGTGAAGGATGGTGAAACTGCAATATCCATGCTATATATTCTCAGCTGTAAGGGCTCAGCTCAAATATTCTCAGCTGCAAGCCTACCACAAATATGATTTATGGGCAATTATCACTGTCAGTGTGCTCACCACATGCCCATTTACACTGAACTCTGACCCCAGTAATTTAAGGGGAAGAAAGCAGACACAGGCATCCTGCTACTATAGTACACAATCACAGACTTGACACCAAGGACGTCTGGAAGTTGCATTCAGTGCTCAGTAAGGAAACTGCTAGTGCAATTTTTTATTTTTTCCACCATCTTTAACAAAGGTTTTACGAATCCTCAATTTATAGTCAGAGAAAGAGATTTAACCATGTAAAATGTCATGTCAGGATGCTCAAAACAAGCTATATCCAGTACAAATGAAAAGCAATGTTACATACAGGAAATGTACTTAAATCCTCTCCATGAATAAATTTTTTCTTATGTATTTCAAATGGGTGATGATCATTCCTACAACAAACCAATCCAAATAACTTTTTGTGTATTCTGGAAAGTACTAAAGAAAGTTGGTTTCTAGCAGGAACTGCATTACCACATCAACGTGTAGGGAACATACTCTAAACATACCTTTAAATAACGCTCAATGTTACTCATCAAAATGTCAATTTCTTCCTTTGACCACATCCCTTGCTTCCACTTATGGCCTGAAAATAGAAATGACAACTAATTACTGAAGTAAAGGCCAGAAAAACAGCAAGAACAGAAGTATCTGAAAACATGACCCATGCTGCAATTAACAAGGAAAAGAATAATTTTAGCTGCTAAAATATAACTAGCATTAATTTTAAACAGATGTTATTTCATAACTGACAGTAACATTCAACTAATATTTAAATAAAGTGAGTCAGACCTCTCTTCAAAAACATCCCATTTTTAAAAACAGAACATGAACTCCTCTATGTGCTGTCAAGTCACATTTTCAGCCTTTCTCTTCAGCTGCAACTAGAAAATTTCTGTCTTTAAACTGACAGCTGAAATTTCCATGCACTCAAAATTATTCCAGAAGCTGGAACTTAAAATACAGCTTTAAGATTACCTGAGGAATTGGCAACAAGGTAGGGTTCTCTTTCATGCCTTAACACTCCTGAACATGAGAGTACTGCCACCTACTGTGAGTGCTTTTTGGAGAGGTAAATGCTCCATTAAACCTCTTTCTGACAAGCTGGTCCCCATCTCTTTACTTCTTTTTGCATTGGGAGTAATGTTCAGGGGTCACAGCCAACATAAAACCTTGTGGTGGGTCTTTTACTTCCCCAAATAAAAGTGGCAAGCCAATAGAAACAACGTTTCCTCTCTGTCTAAGCCTTTAGTAACGACAATGCCAGCTAAGCTTTAAAAGCAAATCCAACCAATATTCAGAGAGAAAATTTCAAACCTTAAGTCTATCAATAAAACATTAAAATATTCCTACTTTAGATTATCCTTTTTTATCCTTTTTTTCCCTTATTGTCATATCATATTTTTAACTGAGCTTATGTTGGTGTGACCCAGTTTACATACTGGTGTGTGCTGGCTACCTGCCCACCTCTGCTCAGAAAAATCAGGGTACTTCCTTCTCAGCCTGCTAATTACCAGAGCTGAGACAGAACACACCAAAGAGACTGTCTACTCAAATCCAATTATAATGAAAAGTACAGGCATTATTACTAATTCCACTGGAACTGGTGAGAGAGTACTCTTTCCCTGTGTCCCATAGCTTCAATCTCTTCCACAGTTACAGAGACAGAAAAATAATGTATTCCAGTAACTGTGATTCACAAAGGTCCAAGCCTCTGAACTGACTTAATGGGACACTGCTACTCTTTACATGGAATAACCTTTAATACCAAACTGTTTTAGGAAAGGACAGATATTCTGCACTTCAAATGTTTGTATATTCATAGTCAAGATTATCATAACCTGCCCATAGGTCTGGGAAGAAAGCATTATTAGGTGGAGACTGCTATAAAGTGATGAGCTCAGGCAACACATGCCAAACTCTGAGCTACTGTAAAAGAAGACACACACTGGCATTCCCCCACTGCTATCTCTGTGACAAATCACAGAGCTTACAAGAAAAGTTCAGCCAGTAGAGATTCTCAAATATTTTTCTTGGCATATTTTACATGTTCACCTTCCTCAAGTTATTAATCTCTTAACTGGAATCAACAGATTAAGTGTCCTCCTTTGACTGGCTGACAATGACGTGTCTCTTCCTAAAGGTTTCTAACAAAAAGAGGGGGTTGCTTTGAACTGACTGAAAAATAATAATTTTTCCTCTAGAAAAAGTAGAAGTCAAAGTAAGAAAAACAGTAGAGGGGCTGAGGAAACCAGAGAGACAACAATCTTCATTTGACACTAAGTTTTTTCTCTAGGTTTAGAAAGCCACTTCCCCTGTGGGCAGGAAAGAAAAAGAAAATCTCTTGAGTTCAGCAACTACTACATGATTGTACAGATATATTTGGAAAGGGAGGAATGCCCAGTGGGGTGGAAGTTTTAGGAGTAGTAGAGATTATTTCATTAGGTCCTGATCTGCAGGAGCCCTCTTCTTCTGAAGCAAAATTGAGCATGGATTTTTTTTTCCCCTTGGTGTCCCTCACCTCTGCTGCAGTTTCCCACCCCCTGACCAGGAAAAGACAACTCTGTGCTCAGTCTGGGCTTAACACACAGCACCCAAAACCTTCTCTGCTGTGGCCACTACTGTCACCACTGCAGGCAAGGCCCATCTCCAAAAAGACAGAGCAGAGACTATGCAACTTGCAAAATGTTCTGACATCTGGAATAGTTTACCTTTCTACAGCATGAGAAAACTGCATTTGAAATATCCTACCTTTATTGGTTAGAGAATCCTTATCCTCTTTGGTTGTGAACCAGGCTTGACTAACAGCTGATACTTCTTCATTGCCCATTGGGGAGATTTCATCCAACTGCTCATTCTGAAGAATCTTGAAAAGACCAATATGCAATGATATTCAGTTGTTTATATCACTTTACAATTAACATTGAGACATAGTTTGAAGGAAAATGAAATCAGCACACCTCATCACCTTGCTGACTGCTCAAAAGTGTCATGTCTTAGATACGGCACTGGAACTATCACCCTTCTTAAAACACCTGAGTAAGATTCAGCATATCAATATACAGATGTTGTGGGAATTAATTAGGTAACATTCTTCACCTTGTTTAATGTACAGTAAGTAAGAAGAGTCTCACTGGCTGTGGTGGAAACAGGACTATATGCAGCATCTCCAATCTAGAACTTTTAAACATGGTATACCACAAAGAAAACTTAATCTTACTGTTAGGACTGGTGACACGACGAAGACTATTTGAGCATGTTATAAAGCTTAATTTATAATCAAAGAATGACAGAAATAACAGACAAACTTGTCTTCTATGCAGATCACAACAGAGCACATTACCAGTGGAGGGTTACCTCTATTATTCTTTGCAGTATTGCTCTTTGGCCAGTAACTTCTCTCATACATAAAATTATTCAGCTGTGCTTTCACAGACCAGCATTTTTACAAACAAGATCCCTGCTCACAAACATTCGTATCAGAGTCACAGAATCACAGAATTTCTAGGTTGGAAGGGACCTTTAAGATCATCGAGTCCAACCCATGTTCTAACACCTCAACTAGGTCATGGCACCAAGTGCCACATCCAGTCTTTTTTTAAACACATCCAGGGATGGTGACTCCACCACTTCCCTGGGCAGATGATTCCAGTATTTGACCACTCTTTCTGTGAAAAACTTCCTCCTTAAGTCTAGCCTGTATCTCCCTTGGCGCAGCTTGAGACTGTGTCCTCTTGTTCTGTCTGTTGTTGTCCGGAGAAAGAGACCGACCCCCAGCTCACCACAGCCACCCTTCAGGAAGCTGAAGAGAGTGATAAGGTCACCTCTGAGTCTCCTTTTCTCCAGGCTAAACAATCCCAGCTCCCTCAGTCGTTCCTCAAGTCTTATTCATTTACTAAGCATTTCTGATACTTCTTTCCCTTTTCATTTCAATTTAAATAAAGGCATACATCAAATAGGTAAATTTTGAAGTTTTAATGTACCTGAATCTGGGTAACAGTTCCTTCATTAATCTCATCTTCAGCTACCTCAGCGGTAGCAGTCATGGTCACCTCAAAGCTCTGATCATTTTCTGAAACTTCAGAATGGGTAAGTTAGTTGCATACTTAACTCCTGAAGCATTTTTTTATACATGCTACAAATTTTATAAATTGCTTCCTTTGAAGTGAAAATTTTGAAGAGCCTTATTTGGTATTTATTTGTTGACACAGTAAATTCTAAAATGATTATCAACTGATTATCAACTAAAATGATTATCAACTGCTTCTCTTCATAAAATTTAAATATGGATTTTGAAACCTTCAGTTTTATGCTTGACTACAACTATGACCTAATGTGAAACATAAACAAAATGTGTTTGATGCAAAAATTTGAAACTGTATTAATATTTCTTTTCCAGCCCTACCTCCAGTATTTTCCAATTAAGGAACAACATTCAAATCTTTTGGCTGCATGTGTTTTCCCCAGTCATCCTCCAGCTTCAACATGATAATGCCTTTATTTCTAAGGAATTTCCACCTAGTTTCACCAAATAAACAGGCACTCCAGGTACTGCAAATTGGTATTTTAACTAGATCTGGTTTTGTCTCCCTTTGGGAGATCACATTAAATTTTCTATCCATTTCCAGAAGACTAATTTGGTATTCATCCTATATTTTTTACATCAATCTCTTTTACACACACCTCAACATTACAAAACGCTGAAATACTAACTGTCCTGTCTGATCATTAAAAAAACCCAAATCTCTTGCAGGAGAGCATCTAGTTGCTAATTTACTTATCCTTCATTTTATTCAATGCACCTGTGCCTGCAAGTCCCTAAACTACTTTAACATAGGCTTATTTTGCCAGAACTAATTGCTGCAAAACTATCCAAGGCTGAAAAAAATATGATACACAAGTATATTAATAAAATTTGGAAGAAAAACACCCCATGCAGAATATTCTACTGTGATTCAAGAGTCCACTTTTAATCTTTGCCAACAGATATATTTGTTACAGGAGTAAATAAAAGAACTTACTTGGAACTGCAACAACAGAAATGCATGGAGTAGAATCATCAAGGCTTTGATCATCCTCTGATAAGCAAAGCCTCTTGTGTGGAGGTTCAGAGCTGTCTTCAGAGTCTACTTCATCAGCTTCTAACAACAAAAACACACCCAGGTTACTTCCTGTAAGCTAAGGAGCCTTGGACAGAGTTCTCCAAAAAAGCTGGCCAAAGCAAATAATAGAAGCAAATGTGACAAGCTGGTTCATGCTTTTCTGCTGCTCAGGAACCTGGTCTGAGTTATGGGCAACAAGAGTCCCCATGCTTTCTTCAACACGCATTTTTTTTGAAAATTCCATCCACAGTATGTCAAACAAATCAGTCTACAGAAATTTGGATATGTGCTTGGTTCTAAGAATCCATTCCAACTGAAATAAACCACAGCAGCTGTATCTTTGTTGGGCACACACAGACAGTTTTGGGATTTATACCTAATTCAACACTTTATCATTCTTTAAAACAAAGCAGAACAATTTTCAGTAAGCTGCACCTCAGTAGCTCACAGAATTTGTGGGCAGGCATGTATGGTGGTCAGATGAATCAAAATAAAGAAGAAAAAAAATACTATGTAAAACAATTGTATACCATTTTGAGGGCAATGAAGAATTAGGTTCCCTTCAGTATCCTGAGTCAAAGTCACAGAGTTCACGGTTTCTACTGTCACTGTGTCAGACTCTTCTTCAACTGTGCTCATACTCAAACCTGAAAGAGCAACACACAGATTACCCTTGGCAGCTGGACTCCACTTGGACCATAATGCTGCTTCCATACCCCACACAACCAGCACAAAATCCCACAGGGAACGAGCCTGCTCTTTCACATGACAAATCCACAATTTCAGACATTCACCTACCTGTACTTTCCTGCACACATATTGCACAGGGTAAAACCAGATAGCTTTAAAGTAACTTCTCCAGTTAAAAATAGTACCTAAACTCCTTATTAGGAGGATTTGCAATCTACTGATTTATTTTTTTTTTCAAACAAACCTAGGCTATTACTTTTCTTCAGCATTTCTAAATTCTTCACATCTGATGATTTTGTCCAGTGTTTTGTTCCACTGTTAATTTAATAATTTTGCTATTATAGAACTGAAAGCTAGTCAGGACTGACAAATATTTTTCTAGTGCCCTATTAGTCACAGCTGCCCTATTTATAGACTGCCAACTTGCAAAGTTTTATTCTCCTTCCATGCATATAATTAAATGTGAAACTTGCATTTTTTTCTTCACCATTTAAACAACAAGAGCAACAGAAAAAATATTTGCAAGCAATCACCAGTACAAAAAGTAACTGAAAGAATAAGTAATCCAGGATAAGCCATACACATTGAAGTCACAGAATTAGGGCAATATAAAGTGTCTCTGATTATTTCATTTCCACTGTAAAAGTACTGCAATGAAATATAAAGTTTCTAAGACATTCTATGTAAACCACCAGCAGTAATTCTGAAATAAATCAAAGCAAAACCCCACAATAAAATTTTTATCAAAGAGATGCAACTTCTGCTGCTGCAGAAGCTAAATGAAATCACATCTAAAATATCCAGAAGCTTTACAAAGATTTCATCAGTTTTAAGCCTGCTTTTGTTAACGTTGGCAGAGATTTGTAAAAAGAAAATATAATCTATTTCTCCTTTAACTACTCAGTTCTTTTTCTGTCTTTACTCATATGTCAACAAACACAAAAAAATTATTTTTAACTTTTATTTTGAAGCCAAAATGCTGTAAAAAATATCTGGCTACAGCTTTAGAAAAAAGAAATCACAAATACATTACAAATTTTCCATGTACTAGGCAGGGATAGCTATATACCCACAGGTAAGTGGAATTTACAACCTGGATTTCAAATTCCCTGTACAATGTTAACATTGTTGCGTCAGCAGGAGATTATTTAATTTTTAATCAGAAAACATGTTCTTCAGTATTGAAGATGCCCAAGAGAAGTGTTATCCTAGAAAGATAAAACTACTGCCAGTCCTTCTAAAAAACTACTTCTCACCTCTCGAGCTCGTTGAAGATTTGGCACATCTTTAAGCACACACAGTGACTGATTCCTCAAATGAAGTGATATTACCCTTCTGAACATGTGAAAAACTTCAGATACCACTGACATTTTAAATCAGAGTGTTCTCAAACTTACTTTCATATCTACCATCAACAGCTCCTTGCCACATGCAAGTGCAGGAGGGGGTAACTTCCTTGGGATTCATCTGCTGCTGAGTTTTACAGCCTGTGCTCCATCCTTCACTTGAAGCTGCTGTTTGCTGCATGGCTGTAATACTGATTTTAGGAACCCAATGAGGCATCCTTAATGCTAAAACATGAGGGAAGACATCCAAAGTGTTACAGCTAAATTAGCAGACTGTAACTTTTTCATCCCAGTTTTAAGTTATTAATTTAGCTTTTGGGGAGTGAATAAACTGGGCCAAAATAAACAGATTCTCTTTTTCATGTTCATACACTTTCTGAGTAAGTTTTACTACAGGGATTGCTGTAGGAAAAATCCCTGAAGTTACTGGAAATGAGGTGGAGGATTCTTCCTTAATTTATGTCAACTAGTTGTCACAACATTTATTTTTCTACAATCAGTTGAAAGCACCCGTTTTTCACTATTTTAGAGGCCTGAAAGACATGAGATTTATAAGACACATTACAACAGTCATTTACTTCACCTACAGCTGTTCTGAAAGCAGTGGAAACAATAGCACCATCCACAGCAGAAGACAGAGCAGACCATTCCTTCTTTTTATTTGAAGACTGATGAAAATTGAGTGCAGGCACAGCAAAGCTATGTTATTGTCTCAGGAGTTACTCAGGACTTGATGAAAATCAATCTGTATATTTAGAGGATTTGGCTACCAAATAAAAACCACAAGGTAATTAATCCCTTTGCATTCCCTGCCTTGCTGGTTTGCAAGCTAGGAGGGAAGAGGATACAGCATAAAAGGGATCTATCCATCCAAATATGGCATTCCAGGGATGGGGAGGAAGCTACGCCCAGGATCAGTAGCTGCTACCCTGGCATTTCCATGCAGAGCTGTAACAGGATTTACCAGACAGTGGCTGAGGCAGCACATCTGAGAGCACCACTGACTCCTCTGATCAAGCCACACATCTGCAGCTCTCAGCTTGAGCTCCCCCGAATTGCAGAGCACCCCAACCTGACACCAGGCACTGCACTTTGTTCAAGGACCTGTGACTTCCCACGAAACATTCCTCATTGTAACTCCTGGATGGAGGATGGGTTTGTAACTCCTCGATTTCCCAAAAATGGTTTAAGCCACCTCCAAGTGCAGGCTCTCCCAAAAAAATAATGATGCTCTGTGTATGATACTCAAGATTTAATGTATCTTAAGTTTTTTGAGTAAAGGTAATAACCTTGACCAAGCCTTGATAAAAACTTAAAAAGAGCCACATCCTTGATTCCCATCAACTTTAATCCATATGGCCTTGGATTACAATTGAATACTTGAGTAGAAAGAACATGAGGAATGAAGCCAAAGTCAAATGCATATTTTGGACACTATTTTTTATTCATTAAGACCATACAAATACAAGAAAACCAAAAGAAAAACCAACCAACCAACCACGTTCTTCCAAGCTACATTTACCTCAGGACAGGGGCACCAACCCATTCATACATGAATGAGTGACCAAAATCAGGAATAACTGTGGTGGTTCTTTTGACTGAACAGGAAACAATCCTATCCTGATCTTACAAACCTCATTGTTTCACACTTAAACAATGACGTAGCTACCAGGTACTCTGAACATGCATCAGATATGTCACATTCACAGGGAGCTCAGTGGCCAAAGCCCAGTGCTGCTGCCTGAGCCAACACCCTCTGATGCCTTCCCCTGATCCTGGCTGCAGGGACACTGTGCCACTGTGCTTACCCTCGATCCATCACAGCACGGAAGCCAGAGCTGTGGTGAACAATGCCAGAGGTTTTGGGATGTGCCACGGGAATTCCGCTCATTACACACACCTGCACATCCACACATCTGCTCTTGCAAAAGCCAAATGCAAATGACAGCCGTGGGTTATTAATTAGTGAGAATTAGGACCTGAGTAACCTCATCACCTCCAAAATATCACCTTCTTTTCACAAGTTCGATAGGTGTGCTTTTGAAAATGCAAACAAGTTTTATTTTAAATAAAAGGCTTACTTGAATTTTAAATTAACAAGCCAAGGTTTTTCTTTAATCCTTGATCAGACACATTCTTTACAGAAGTGCCAATCCATCACTAATATTTCATGTTCTGAAGGAGGGTGTCAGCTTTTAGGGAAGAGAACAGTGTTGGGTAGACATGCACCAAAAGTGTGGGTGCCATAATCCGTAATGAAATAGCACCTTAGAAATCAGTGTCAATTCAATAAGCATTTTTTTGCCTTGTTGGATTTCTGTTTTTATTTACCAAATTCAATACTTTTTAGAGCAGCATTACAATTTCAAACAGGTTTCAACATGCAGCCAAAGAAGTGGGAAAATACTTTCTCTACAAGACTCATTTAATACAGATTTCCAATATACGTTTTCCACTAAAGCCACATAATAGAGTTGTTCTTATTTATCTGGGAAGCATGCAGCAAAATTATGGCAGAAAAAAAACCCTACAAAGCTGATTTTACACCAAACTGAAAAAAAATAAAGAAGTAATATCCTAATACGAAATTCCTTTAATTCTAAATAACCATCATCAGGCAGATGGGTTCAATTATTCTGTGGGCTGTAAAAATTAAGCACTTCTAACAAACAGTGTTTTTACTCTTGCAGACAGAATTCTGTTATTGCCTCTAGTTATTAACCAAATGTTATGTCTTGTCTTTAGTGGACTGTTGTAAATCTTAAAATTTCTATAGTAAGTTGAATTAAAGGCTATGTTCTCTGAAATGGGCAATAAGTATGTTTCACTAAGTCCTGTAAAAAGCAAAAATTGAAGATTATTAAGAGAGGTTTCCAGTTACTGGAACATTTAACTGGAACAACCCCATGGAACACAACTGGATTTCGAGGCATTTGTTCAAGACTAACACTAAGGAACCAAAGTCATTACAGGACCTCATATTTTAGGAAGTCTGAATGCTTAGTAATTCAAACCAAGTCAGTACTTCCAGTACATTATCAGGAGTTTCTATTATTCAACTAGTGCCAGAGCTGTTATATTCAGTGAACCCCCCCTCCCCAACTTTACTCCAGACCAATGGGATTCTGCTCAAATTTAAAATGCCACCACACAAAAATTTTCTCTAACAGCTGCCAACAATGGATACAAAAAGGAAGCAAACTGGGCAGACACCAACCACAAGGAGGCAGGGACCTGAGTTTGGGGCATACAAGGATTTATTAATCTGTATCAGCACGAGATTAGAGTCTTGTAGATACATCAGTGGTACTTTGAGAAGTGGGCCATCACTGAAACAGAATATATAGGAGACACAATGGGACAGAGTGTTCTCATTTGCATTGATCCAAATTTGGCAGAACTCCATGAGTTTTAGCCTGTCCATTGAAAGTTTAATAAAAAGCACTGAGCATGCTTTAAATGTCACACAGGGGAAAAAACCCAACACAAAACAAAATAAAACCTACGTCCTTGCTATTTCAAAGAAATAAACACAGAAAGTTTCAAGTTATCTTTTTCAGGAATTGGCTCTTGGGCACAAGGTTATGGCTATGGACAGAAATTTTCCTAAGTATATGTACTAAAATTCTTTTCCCTTCATGTAAATCCAGTTCCATGAGAAGCATTTCAGTAACTTCTCCACCTTTATAAACAATGGGTAGAATTTCAGCATGCAAGAAAAATAAGAAAAATTATCCTAACTGTAAGACTGATAAGCAAAGAGAAGTCTTTCTTGCTTTCTGATGGACAGATAAGCACGGAAATGATGCTCAAAAAAAAAGGAGAACATGCAAAACACAGTAGAGAGATCTTTGTCTCTTATATGGCCACTTTTTATAATTTTGTATGGTTAAGACAAAAATCAGTATTTCTGGGCATTCTCCTTAAGGAGTTATAATTAATGCTCAATCTTTTCAGTAAGTCATAAAACATCATAAAGCTGTTTATTATTATTATCATGTGAAATGATGTAAATGAAAACCAGAATGAGATGTGTCCATGTCAATGCAAAACCTGCATCTCCTGGTTTTGCAAAGGAATTCTAACTATGCTGTCAAGAGGCCAACTTACATCTGTAGCCAGAGCAGTGCTGGCAAACAAAAAGCATTTTCTAGATTACTTCAACTAACAATGGCCAGGTGGGGCTGAACAGTGCAACTCTTTGTGAATGAATACATGCAAATACTACCAGTCAGCTGAAGAAATAGCTGGTACAAGTGTAATACACTTCACCATGCCCAAGGGCACAACCAAGAATAAAGAAATAAAGAGACATTTAAAAAAAAAAAAGTGGGGGGAAAATAGGCTTTTCCAACCGGAATCATTTATTTTGCCAGAACAGAGTATAGATCTGGTGCAGAAAATCCTGGTACCGCCCTAAGATGAAACCCCTGATCTTGGCAGAGTCGAACACTTCAGATCCACTTGCCCTAAGCAACCTCAAATCACAAATCACAACTCTCGCTGGGAAAAAAAAAAAAAATAAAAAAAAAAGCTTATGAAACAAAACAGATAAAACCCAAAAGCTCGGGATACCCCAAGCGCAGACCCAGCGAGAGGAAATGGAGAAATTCAAATGCGATCGTGTAGATGGGCCTCTTATTAGAGACATCCAGGTATGGGGGAGGCAGTTAAAACCACAAAAAACAACAACAATTAAACAAAATAATAAAACATAATAAACAAAACAAAGGCGCTGGCCGGCCTCCCCTTGCCCTGCCCTCCCCAGAGAGCCGGGTTTGGTAATTTCCCGGGCCGGTCCTTCCGACCGCTTCCCAATTTCACGGCGCGCAGCGCTCCCGCCGCCCGGCAGCGCCCCGGGAAGGCGGGGAGCCGCGGCCCAGGGCTCTCCCAGGAGAGCAGCCGGCGGCAGGCAGCGGCCCTGCCCCTGCCCCGGCACTGCCCCCGGGGCGGCGGCTCCGCGCCCGCCTCAGCCCCGCTGCTCCGCGGCCGCCAGCGCCGCCATTTGGCCCCGGGCGGCC